TGACTGATTTATTTATTTAATAACAAAAATATTTCATAATCTCTCCCTCCTAATCTCTCTCACAAATTTTCAAAAAAAATATATTAAAACTTGCATTCATTTTCTCTTCCCCAAAAAATCAGATAATATTTTCTATTAAAGTTGTAGATATCTACCTATATTTTAGATATTATATTATAACATAACCAAAAAAACCAAAAAACTAAAAAAAAAAATCTTTAAAGTTTATCTAAATAAATTTTAAATCAATAAAACTCACATGTCTATCACATATCTAACTCACATCATAACTTACCTAAATAATAATAATTAAAAACAAATGGAAATCACAGATAAATTAAATTTTTAAAAAAGATACCCACAACTCCATCTTAAATAAATTGAAAAAAAAATACCCGAATAGAAACCACACAAAAATAAAAATAAAAATAAAAAAGATATATCTATCTATCTATCTATATATTAAGCAAAATGGAGTTTTTAACCCCCAAGACCTATGGGAGCTTCAATATCCCAATTTGAATATTTTAAATTTTTTATTTAAAAAAAAACTCAGCATTTATTGATTTGGTCAAAATCCCCTGATTAGTATTTATTAACTTTTTTCAATCCACATATCTTTCCACATGCCTGCAATTATTGATTTATTCAAAATCTCCTGATCAGCATTTAAAATCCCCTCATACAAATAATTATAGATACAATTCGCGTATAGTTACTGCAATACCTTTTTCAACTTCTCCCATACATTATGGTTAGTGATAAGAAAAAAAATCTTAAAAAACATAATTTATATATTAAAAAAAATCTAAAACAAATATAAATATCTATAATTATCCCGTGCATAGCACGGGTGATAGGCTAGCGTTGCAATTGGTTAAGTGACTCCTAGGGGTACATGTAATCATTAGTTTTCATATGTCACGTCCAATAAAATGTACTAAGTGAACGTTTTTCACTAGTAAATCAACATGAAAACTAGAGTACATTTTATTTTCGTGCATAGCACGGGTGGTAGTTTTCATACATTAAATCATATGTTACTCTTTAGTTTTCCAATAAAATGTACTAAGTGAACGTTTTTCACTAGTAAATCAATACTGCAGTGAACGTTTTCATATTTCCGTTAGAACCCGTGCTATGCACTGGTTGTGTTTCATATTTCCGTTAGAACCCTTGAATGGTAGGTATTTCCAATAAAATATCTATCATTAGTTTTCATATGTTACTCTTTAATTTTTTTTAATGTGATTTACTTGTTACTTGCAAGCGTTGCAATTGGTTAAGTGACTCCTAGGGGTACATGTAATCATTAGTTTTCATATGTCACGTCCAATAAAATGTACTAAGTGAACGCTTTTCACTAGTACCTTGAATGGTAGGTATTTTCGTTTAGACCGCACATATGGATGTATACGATGCTGACTATATGTGGGCCTGCAATGTACAACAGTGAATTCTTTCATCGCCGTCAATACATTATGCACGTGCTGGGACACAATCTCTCCCGAATGTTGGAACTGTTCTTGGATTTGCCGATTTTGCGACCCTTGCAACACGTGAATAAACATTGCAGCGCTTTCTTCAACAGCTAAGCCATGTGGATGTTACGGTACTGGTAACCCAAAATTAGTTACTAATGTGTGACACAAAGCTGCAAATACGTCCTTCGGCATGGTCACATTTTCCTCAAATCGACCCATATGGCCCGCATATAGTTCGGTTATCCATGCATGCCGCATCAAAATTGAAGTGCGATATGGCATTTTAGACATGTGTTTTTCGTACCACTCTTGCACATGCCGGCATGCTTCTACAATTGTCCAATTGTTTTGTTGTTGCAACTGTATATGGCCATTTGGTTAAGTATTTCCCTTAAATCCTGATTGTTGCTTCCATCTCTCGGATTTATCACGTCGATTCAAGTGTAACCTATAACAGTGAGACGGTTTGATTTAGTTTACACGTGATGCAGTGAGTTTAAGGAAATTAAACCTTGTAATTACATATTGAAAACATCGTTAACACTATTACATCACCATGGAATATATGATGCGTAACAGTAACATACAATTGCACATAAAATTTCCCAAATAAACAAACAGAGAACTTGGTGGTAAGTGATAATACACAAACCAATAAAACGAAACATTGCATTACCAATACAACCATATCAACGGAAAAATAACATAACAATAAACAAAGAAATAAATCCTTAAACAACCAACACACAGCAGGCAGCCGGTGCGCATGTAATGCCCATTAAAAAAAAAACACAATCATTCTATTCCAGCTAAAAAAACACACAAACATTCTACGTAAGCGTCGAAAAACGGGCACAAACATGCAAATATTTTTGCACCAAACCTGGGGAAAAAAAAGGAAAAAAAATGAAAAAAACACGCACAAACATCCTGTTTATTTTAAGTCTAACACAAACACAAGTAAAAGTTTTTTAAACCAAGATTATGAGAACGTATACATCAGTATTTCTCTATTTTAGAAACTAAGAGCCCTGAATAGGTTCGCAAATGGCGCCGCCACACTACACTGCATCTGCTTATGTGTTAGCCAGCCGACAATGTGGTCGTTATTAGGTTGGCACATCATCACCTCCCGGTAATTGCGTTATCTATCAATGTCGAGGCAAAATGGAATAGCGGCATACCGAGAAGGGTAGGAATGTTCCTCAACCGATGCTTGCACTCCAAAATTGTGTACAGTGATTCGTTACCTACGAGGTGCCTGACCATAACTTGCTGATTCTAGGTACGAACCACATTTGTCAGATTGTTCATGCTTTCCACAATAACTGAGGCCCCAGTTGTGACCTTCTTCGACTTTCCACAGCTTGTTGATGGAATCCGTTTCCTTTTCTCGTTACCAGTCGGAACAGGTTCAATTGAAGAATCTGAATCGATGTCCTCTGCTCGTGCAGGTATCGAATCAACAAATGGCTGGGCTCCGAGATTGTTCACAGAATCAGATGAGACGTCGGTCGCTTCAGTAACTTTTTCTCTCGAGGTCCAATGGTGCTTACCAGCAGCTGTTGCCCCTATAAATATCGTTTCCTTCAACTCTCGATGTTCCAATGTTTTTTTCCTGAACTTGGCACACACCTTGTTTGTCTGCAAAAATGGACAGTGTAGAAAAATAAAACATTACATGCAATATGGAAAATTTTTACTAACACCAAAAACGTGAAAATTTATTGCTAACAGGAAAAAATGTAATGAAAAAAACATAAGCAAATTACATTGTACTTACCGATTCAATCTTGTCCCACCACTCATCCGATACCTGAAACATACCAGTTTCGCTAGCAAAACCAATCCCTGACACCCCTCTGCTAGAATCCATCAACTTCTTCCAAGCATTCCAATCTTTTTTCAGGGCCATGTATTTATTCTTCAACTGTTTCAGGCCATATTTTCTTCCTATTTTTTTCTCGAATTTTCGTGCCAACAAATTGTACCCAGCTTGGTTTAGGACTAGGAATGATCGATTTCCTTTTGTAATCTCATCGACAAAAAGCTAAAGGAAAAGTCGGATTGAGTCACTGTCCCATGATGCCTTGTGGTTGAACTGTTTGTGTGTCACTTCTACACTGTTTGATTTCTCTGAACAAATGCCTTTATTTTTGATTGTGTACGAGGTGAAGTACGTATCGAAGCCATTTACACTAACCACGTAGCAAAGGAAACTAATTTATGGGTGAAAATAATCATCATCACCAATGTTGCTTGTTACAGACATACATGTAAGACCATAGCACAGTAATTTGAAATGGTTGCCACATGAACAGTGTATGATGATTGCACATTAAAAACAATAACTAGATGTTACGTTGGACAGTATATAACCATTGCACATTAATTAACATAGCAATACAGACACATAACATTCATGTAGAACGAATTTAAACATCAGAAGTGAAATAGCACATAAGACTAGTCATTAATGTCTACGCCAAACTAGTCATGCAACGCAAGTCAAACTTATTTACATAACAGGCAACATCTGTACAACCTCATGCAATATTCCTTACATACATAACAACAAAAGGACAACGACAATGCATAGCACGTAGACGATGGTCTTAAGGAGATGCAATGATTGTTGAAGTTGTATGACATCATCCTGCAATTGAATGACAATGTCATTTCTGGATGACGCATAGTCTGTGCTCTGTTGCCTAGGTTCTTCGCATTAACCAATCCAGCTGACACAGGGCTGGCGAGTGCAAATGACAAAGCTATTAGTTAATTGGTTCATAATCAAATGCAGTTATGACCGTTAATGAATTGGGCACTCACCACAGGGCGGGACATGCAAAGTAGGGACACCTTGGATTTTTGGTCGACTTGGATATCTTAACAATACATTGGTCATAGCCACAGGCACACATCCAACATGGCCATGTACTGGAAGTTGCAGTAGAGGTAAACAAAGCCATGCTATGTTTGCTGACTGGGCGAAAGACTAACATGTAGGTGGCACATTATTAATAGTTTTGGAAAGTGTAAGATTGTTAAAAATTGAGGAATGTCCCCATTTGTTATTTGGAAATGGGGTTTTACAACAGGGAAAATGTACGTTTTCAATTATAAATTTCTCTGTTATGTGAAATTTGAGCATTTTCCTATAAAACACGAATAACATAAATCTTAGCTGGAATTCGTCTCCATTTCCATTTTTCACTTAATGTATAACTGATTAGATTCGATCTATCCTTCTAAAGAAAGATACAAATAACCAAATTAACATCAGTATTTCTCTATTTTAGAAACTAAATTTCATGTGTTATATCATAGGTGTACTGTTCCGCTTGCACTAAAATTTGTCATGTTAATGGAGGGGTCCTAAAATTTGTATGTCATAAAACATAAATTGCACATAATTTAAAACCCATATCGAAACCATGACAGTTTCAGTGAAGAGATAAATAAATAATTCGTCAATCAAAAAGATATCCCAACATTTCCACGGAGCAGAGTCACAAATAACGTAATCCAAAAGTTCCAAGAGAAATATGAAATAAAACCCTAACCCAACATTTGCAATGTAAAAACCCAAATCCAAACCATGACTATATTAATAGATAAAAATACACATTTCACCGGAAGAAAAAGAGAACATCGAAAAGGCAACCCAACATTTCCATGGAGCAGAGACAGAGGGAAAAAAACATTTAATTCATGTTGGCAAAAATAAAATTCATTCATGTTATTCCTTTCAATCCAAAAAATAATTAATTTTTTCCACACAATTAATTCATGGTAAGTGTTGTTTGTTCATGTTCAAAGGTTAATTTATAAATCCCAAATAAAAATTCAAATTCACATCTAACTTATGATATGCTTCTGTGTTGTCATCGTTTCATCAAGATAGAACAAAGAATTCGAGCAACTCAGAAAAATAAATAAAACAAAAACATGTGCCTCAGTTGCACAAATATTATCAGACTTTGTGAAAGGGTTATCAGAACCTCAATTACAAACAATTCAGAAGGCCATGGTGAATTAATTGAATTTTGCGACATGGTGCAAAAAAAAAAAAAAAACAACATAACAGAAACAGAAGCACAATACAAAAAGGAAAATTAACAAGGGTTAACAAAAAAGTCAAATTGCCATGGTGAAAGGGTTAAGAAAAAAGAAAATTTTGCGACATGGTGGAGAAATATGTAATAAAAACCCTAACCCAACATTTGCAATGTAAAAACCCAAATCCAAACCATGACTATATTAATAGATAAAAATACACATTTCACCGGAAGAAAAAGAGAACATCGAAAAGGCAACCCAACATTTCCATGGAGCAGAGACAGAGGGAAAAAAACATTTAATTCATGTTGGCAAAAATAAAATTCATTCATGTTATTCCTTTCAATCCAAAAAATAATTAATTTTTGCCACACAATTAATTCATGGTAAGTGTTGTTCGTTCATGTTCAAAGGTTAATTTATAAATCCCAAATAAAAATTCAAATTCACATCTAACTTATGATATGCTTCTGTGTTGTCATCGTTTCATCAAGATAGAACAAAGCATTCGAGCAGTTCAGAAAAATAAATAAAACAAAAACATGAGCCTCAGTTGCACAAACATTATCAGACTTTGTGAAAGGGTTATCAGAACCTCAATTACAAACAATTCAGAAGGCCATGGTGAATTAATTGAATTTTGCGACACGGTGCAAAAAAAAAAAAAAAACAACATAACAGAAACAGAAGCACAATACAAAAAGGAAAATTAACAAGGGTTAACAAAAAAGTCAAATTGCCATGGTGAAAGGGTTAAGAAAAAAGAAAATTTTGCGACATGGTGAGATTTTAAAAAATAAATAAAAAGTAGCAGAATAAAATGCTAGAAAGATTTAATTTAATTAATGTTGGTAATAAACAGAAACTGAACCTTAGTTACAAAAAAAATTTGAATTCATGTAGGCATAAATCAGAAACAATTCAGAAGGCCAAAAAAAAAAAATTTAATTCATGGTCGCAACAAACAGAAACAATTCTGAAGGCCAAAAAAAAAAAATATTAATTCATGTTGGCAAAAATAAAATTAATTTATGGTGTTACTTAAAATCCTAAAAAAATGAATTTTGGCAAAAAATTCATTCCCGTTTCAGTGTTGTTCCTTAATGTTGACAGAGTTAATTTTTTAATCCTAACAAAATTCATTCCTGTTCAGTGTTGTTCCTTCATCAATTTTGCAACATAGAAACAAAAATTATACCAATTTCACAAAAAAAAAAAAAAAAAAAAAAAAAAAAAAAAAAATGAACCACAGCAAAATAAAATTTGTGAAAGGGTTATCAGAAGCTCAATTTAAAAAAAAAAATTGAAACAAAAAATTAACAAAAAAGAAAACATAATTTACAAAACCTGAACATGCAAAAATTGACCATTCAAACAAAAGAGATATCAGATCTTTAGTTTCAAAAAAAAAAAAAAAACAAAGAAAAGAAAAACAAAACATGATCCTATGCACAATATAACCACAATACAACCAAAACATTTGTTGAAGTTATATGCTGAAAATTAGAATTTGTAGTTTACAAAAAAAAAAAAAAAAGGAAAAAGAGGAAAGGTTTTGTCATAATTCATGACAGATCAGTGGGTTTCCCACATGCCAAAATAAACATAAAAAAAAAAAAACAATGGAGGAAAATTTTTAAGCTAACATATAGCAATGGCTTTCACAAATGATGGTTGAGGGAGACGAATTTATGCAAAAAAAAAAAAAAAAAAAACAATGGTAATACAGAAAACCAACAACTACCTGACGATTGGTGGTGTTTGGGAGGGTGATTTCTCTTTCGACGCCGCAAATGTGTACTTGGGCGACGTTCGGCTCAGTTCAGATCTCCGCGAGTATGATGCGACGCCGATGATTTGTACTATGGTGGCGATCGACTTTGGCAAACTTCACGAGATGGCTTCCAGTCTCAGCGTTGCTGATTCGCCTTTGTCGCTTCAGCATGTGTTTTGCCCTAGAGTGTTTGTGTGTGTGGTGAGGTGGTGAGACGTGTATCAGAGTGAGAGGGGGCAGTTTGGTAATTTTAACCTGCCATGGTTTCAACATTTCCACGTGAAGCTCATTTGGATGGTAATGGCTAAATTAGCCTTTTTTGGACGGTAGTGGCTAATTTAGCCCAAAATCGTCTTCCCAATCGACACCTAAATGTTTAATCAAATTGTAGCCAAAAACCTACTTTTCTATTTTAGCTAACTTTATTTTTCTTGTCATGCTCTAACAAACTCTCCATTTCTTTCTCCATTCAATTTAAATATTCCTTATTTTTTCAAAAAAATCATATTTTTCAAATGGACACTTAACGGTCATATTTTTTAAATAGAAACTTTTATAACAATCATATTTTCAAATGAATACTTTTGCAACGGTCATATTTTTTAAATAGAAACTTCTATAATGGTCATATTTTTCAAATGAATATTTTTGCAACGGTTATATTTTTGAAATAGATACTTTTCTAACGGTCATATTTTTCAATATAAATAAGATCATTACTCTTTAATTTTCATCCACCTCAATCTAGTTTTCTTTAACATTAAGTCTTTATTTTCTCATTATGCATCACAATTCTGTACGCAATATGATTATCAATGAGTCTGACTCCGATGATGAGTTAGAGATAGTTTCAGTAGTCAATATGGAGGAAGAATCAAGATCACGTCGTGGTTCTATACAACGTTGTGTGTTCATTAGGCATAATATTTTACAAGGCCACCAAAGACTTTTTCTTGACTATTTTGTTGAATCACCAATATATCCTCCTAATGTATTTCGAAGAAGGTTTCGGATGAATCATACTATTTTTCTCTGTATTCATTCTACAATAAAAGCTCACGAACTGTATTTTGTTCAAA